GCTATTTACCTAAATAATTGGACCTGCAATCAAAGGCTAAAGAAAAACAGTCCTTTTAGTCATGTTAAATCACAACTGTTAATCGCTGAAAATATTGAACCTCTTTATCTTCATAGCAATCTTAGTACTTGCTTGGATCTTTCCAATGTTAGTTTCCATGAAAGCCTCCCTACCATGCTTGACAAGAAAGACTGTGTGCCTGACTTCCTCAGACAATTGTCCCTGGAAATCATCAATAAAATCCCTCCAAACGACATCAAAATATTCTCTGATGGCAGTAAAATGGATAGACAGACTGGCAGTGGGGTATTTATTGAAACACCTCGAGAGAACTACACTCTTCATCAACGAAACCCCGATTTTTGCTCCGTCTTTCGAAGCGAACTAATTGCAATCGACAGGGGACTAGAGAAAATCTTGAGTGAAGGGCACCTTGGAAATACTTGGATACTATCTGACAGCCGTAGTTCAATTCAACACCTCAAAAATTGGGCCCTCATTGGAGATAAAACCAGTTTTTCGATCTTACAAAAAGTAAAGCTCATTTCCCAACAGCATGAGGTCCACTTTCAATGGATCCCGTCCCACGTCGATATCCACGGCAACGAGTTGGCTGACACTCTTGCAAAGAAGGGACTAGACCATCCAGTCCCCTCCACCTCAGAGCTTACATACCTTGAACTTTTTGCAAGGCAAAAGGCCCAGAACAAACAAAAGTGGCTGCTTCCACCTATTCACTACTGGTATAAAGCAAAAAGGCCAGAACTCTCTCTATCTCTCCCTGGTGACAGGCAAACCAACACCTGCTTATCCCGACTGGCCAGTGGACACCTGAAAAGTCTCACATTTTCTGCAAATCAGAAGATCTTTCCTCTTTGCCCTAAATGCCAACAAAACCAGGCATCACCTGAGCACATCTTGAACTGTTTAGGGCTGGACTAGAACGACATTCATTCCTCTCCCATTCTGGTTTCGGATTTTCTTAATATCAACGGATTCATTGATCTGGTCTGACCCCGTCAGACCAGATGGGAATTAGCAACAGCAACAACAAGTTTTCCTTAGTTACTTGCAAATTCAGTATTCATTATTTCATTTAACCTTATTTACGCAATTTTTTGAAATTTTTTTAATTACAAATTTTTTTTTCTGGAAAAAAAAACTGTATTCATTTAAAAAAATAATTTCTTTGTATTAAAAGATAAATCATCTTACAGCTTCGTGAGTTCTCATAGGTTAGAAAAATTACATGATATGGTCAGCAATAAGCAAAGAAAATCCTGTTATTTTCATCCTTCCTGTTTAAAATTAATAATCTTTATAACAATATTTAACTGTAAATTGTTTATTTATCCATTATTTAAATGATATGTACCTGAAATATATATTTATCATCCCTTATTAAAATTTTTCTTTATTTTATTAGATGTCTTATTTTGAATTATTATTTAAACTTATGGGATTCAAATTAAACGAAGCTTTATTATATCAAATTATAAAGCAATCAATGTTATCTGTTGTTGTTGTTTTAGTTAATTTACGTCGCACTAGAGCTGAAACAATGGGCTATTGGCGACGGTCTGGGAAACATCCCTGAGGATGATCCGAAGACATGCCATCACAATTTTGATCCTCTGCAGAGGGGATGGCACCCCCGCTTCGGTAGCCCGACGACCTGCCCGCGAATCGATGTTTTTTTTTAATAACATTTAATAGTTAAAATATTTAGTTTTATTTTGGTTATGATCAAGATATTAATATACAAAGTATTGTAACTACTACTACGTTTAGATATGGGTAATTCCTTTTCAAACAAGCCAACAAAATCAAAAAGTTTAGGTCAATAATTCAAAATTCTATGATTTTGATATATTTGCTAAGCCTACTTCTGCCATGAAAAATGCCAAGTTTCATATTTTTTTAACAGCTAATTTCCGAGTTATACATATTTAGAATTTTGAAAATTCAGAATTTTTTAAAATTTACTAATTTTCAAACGGATGCAACTTTAGAACTATTTGATCTTAAGATCTAAACTTTATGTCATTTTGTTCAGTTTTAATGAAAGTTTTTTTTATATATATTTCTAACACGGCTGAATTATTTGAAAAAATAATATTTAAAATAAATTTTAATTTTTAAAAATTACAAAATTGGAATTTTTAATTTTTTAGAGGAAAATTATATTGTATTGAACTCTTTTTCAATAATTTTTTGGCCCAATTTACAGGTGGTATTCTTTTATGATCATAATAAAGAAAAAATTTGTAGTTAAACCATATTAAAAAAAAAAAAAATTTCCACTACAATACTTCTATTATCAAATAACCAAAATTTTTTAAATAACTGTAATTCGTTTTGTGAAATAGTAGTTTTGTGAAATAATAGTTTTGTGAATAATTTAATTATTTATTGCAAAAATTATTAAATGGATCTAAGAAAGAAAAATGAAAAGAAAAAAAACAATATCTCTGAGAAATGTGAAGAAATTATAAAAAATAAATTCGCTTATAACAATTTATTCAAAGTATTAGTATAACTATAACAAACGAATAAATATTATTAACAAACTTAAGCATTATGCTGTCGTTATAGTTTGTCTAAAGTCTCTTAGCCATTCGTCTGGACCCGTGGTGGTGACTATGGTAACGAGGTATAACTATTTCAAGTAGTAGGGGTGTGGGGGTATAGGTTTTGACTTGGGTCGGCGAAAGAATCTTTTTCTTTTGTCTATAAAGTCAGCAGCTCCTTGAAATGTGCTATTCTTGTTTCCATAGCAGCAGACGGCCTTAGACTTTGTGGAGAGGGGAGTCTTTACCGTAGACAAACTTTATGCGACCAAGCTGACGGAGGATGCTTATAGCAGGGTTGCTTTTTCCTCAAAACCTTTAATCGCCAAGTTGACGGCAGTAAATATACGGGTGAGAAACTGTTGAAAATTACTGGTTAAAACTGGTGAGAGTGGCGATCACCGCAAATTCTAAAAATAAAAATAAAATTTAAAAAAATTAAAAAAAAACATTTTATTAAATAAACCAGTTTTGCTCCTGATTTCATGATGGTATTTATATGGCATCAAAAATAAAAATAAATATACTTTCAACGTACTTTAAAATATTTACAAATGATTCTGAAAATAATATAGTTTTAAATAGAAGCTGCGTAAAATTTATTCTCCTCTTTTGAAATTAGGATGTAATTTACTTAAATTTTTAGTATACCCAAAATGTCCTTGAATGGTTATATTTTTAGAAAGAAAGAAACTTTGTTTTACCTAATCTTTTTACATGAACCACTTACTGCAATAGACACAGGCCGAGCAATTTGGTGAACGTCTGCAACTAATTCAAATCTTGCGATATATAGTCCGAATATATTTTGATTTGGCAGTTCTTAAGAGAGATAAATGCATTTTGAGACACAGCTTCCTCAAATTTTATTTCCTAAATCAATTCCTAATCAAAAAAATCAAATTCCTAAATTGACATTCCAGATAACTTGACATTTGTTATTTAAATTATTTCATAAAAGAAATAAATTATATCATAAAAGAAATTAATTATTTTATGAAAGAAATACTGGGTTCCTATTAGTAACCTAGTATTCCTTTTATTACTGTATAATGCAATCCTAGTATTTGTAATCCTAGTAACTACTAATTCATTGTGCAATTTATATAAATGTTTGTAATAAATAAAATAAAATTATATTTTTATTTATTTAGAAGCGACGGGTTCGTTTCAAAGGAGGACGGGTACATTGTTGGACAAGCCGTCCTCAGGGACGGGTAAAAGTTTTGAGTTTTTTCGAGCCCTGGGACTTGCGTCTTCACCTCATTGAAAATATTGAATCGAACGTTAAGTAACTGGCGCTGAACCAAGCACAATCATCCCACTGACATAGTTACTTGATTGTTTCGTTGATACTACTTTTCAGACTAAGTTTATTAACTATCTTATTAAGAATAAATGACTCTTATTAAGCATAGGTTTCTCAGGTGTATTTTTTTTCATTACCGTAATTATTTTGATTATAACAAATAGATAGCAATTACTTGCCTTAAAAATGTTGCCTCTTTTAATTCAGCACACATCCCTCCCTCCCCATGCTCTAAATAACTGGATTTTCAGAAAGGTTGAGATTTTTCGTGATCCTTAGGGAGGCGGCAACGTAAAAAAGGTTGAGAATCTATGGTATGTTGTAATAGTAGCGCCAGCTACATTTATAAGAGAAAAAAACATTGCTTCTTTTGTTGGTTTCATTGCGTCTAGAGAGATAGACCAGTGCGCAGTATATAATAAACGCTTTAATTATTAATCCGGAATTCATTCTTTTTTGTTGTCATTTATCGATAAATCCGATCAAGATTATTTTCAGGAGCTCGTAATACGAACCACGTAAAACCGCAAACGTTAATCAAAGACAAAATATTAATAATGCGTCGTTTATTTGTAAATAATTGTTGCGTTCATATTTACATTATTTATACACTACTGGCCATTGAAATTGCTACACCAGGAAGAAATGCAAATAACAGAATGATATTTCATGGGAACATACATTATAGTTAGAAAAACAAGTAATTAAATTTTCAGAATATTTGGATGTATAGATCCTGAGGAATCAGTACTCAGAGCAGCCTTCCCTGGAAGCAATAACAGCAGTTATTCTCCTGGCATCAAGCTGAACAGACAGAAGTAGTAAGTAGAAGTAGTAAGTAAGAAGTAGTAAGTATATATAGTATGTATTATAACAAGTAGTAAGAAGTAGTAAGTATATATAGTATATATTATAACAAGTAGTAAGAAGACCAAGTGAAGGAACAGTTCTTACCAGTGAATGAACACAAAATTGCCCAGTAAAGGAACACTTAATTTTGGTTATTTTTTAATGTTCTGTATGAATTTATAAGCCATACAAATATTTAAAAACAAGCCTATTCTTGAAATTATAACATATAAATACTTAGAAAATGTTAACTTTTTTTTGTAATCATGAATTGAAAATTAAAGTGTCAACATATTAACACATACTGTTCATTCACTGGGAAATCTATGCCTAGTAAAGGAACATGCCTGTTCCCTCACTGGTTCGAAGTTGTTTTTCGTATTTTTGACATACTTTTGATGCAGAATATCACTAAAGGTACAAGAAAATTAATGTTTATCTTTTATTTTCATTAACTTAGAAAAAAAAACTGTAAAGGAACACTTGTTCCTTTACTGGTTTTTCATCGTTTGATAATCCAGTAAATAAACACCCCCTTATCTCAGTACTTGCTTATGCTATGATGCTTAAAATAAATAAAACGTAACTTCAATAACTATATTTTGAATTCTCTTTTTCACAGTGAGAAAATAAAACTACTACGAACAATTAATTCCACTTTAAACAGATAAATACAAGCACTCACTTTATAATTTTATCAAAGAAACAAGGTGTTGCACAGATAATAAAAAATTTTAAAAAAATTTTCAGAGAGCACTATGTGACCAGGTAATCCGATACATTATTAGTTGACTTCCTATTGTTTGGCAGTAAGCTATTGTTACCAATCAATCTAAAGAAAAACTTTCAAAATCTTATTTTTAATCAATATATATGAAATGTTCCTTCATTGGGTCGTGTTCCTTCACTGGTTGGTTTACCCTATATACTTGAATATTCACTTCAAATAAAAAGGGCTTAAGGGTTTTGTACTAAAATTTCTTCATTCTTTTTTTTTTTTAAAAGAATAAAAATATTACTTGAGAGCGGTTATGAATGAAATATTTTTCGATTCTTGCGCGGC